GGTAGCAAGGATGATTGTTGGATTCACCCCAATATGGTCTGTGGATTGGAAGGCCATGAAAAGGATGCTCAGGAAGAAGTTGAAACCCCCATCCACTGTCACTCTGAGGGGGAAGAAGGTGCAAAACCTTTCATCAATGGCAATCTGGTCCCTTTGGATATGGACCTTAGATTCTGTTCTCAAGTCCCTATCCCTCTCCCCAAATTCTCCAAATCAAAGAGAGAGATCCCCCCATCGGGGATGATGACAAGAAGTAAAACTAACAAAGGCGTATCTCCCAACCCTTTTATATCATGAAGCTTCTTTTCTGGAATATCTGTGGGGTTGCCTCCTCCCTCAGTAGACTTATTTTCCTTAAGAGGAAGCACAATTTAGATTTCTTATGTGTTATTGAACCTCTCGTCCATCCCTCCCAGATTCAAACCTACATGCTTCACCTAGGTTTTACACATCACCTCTTGTCCCAAAGCAACAAAATTTGGATTTTCTGGAACTCTCTTTCCCTTACTCTCCTGTCATATACAGAAGTTTCCCAAGTTACTCACTGTGAATTCTCTTTGAACACCAACTCCCCCCCCCCCTTGGTGATCTCCTCAGTCTATGGTTCCCATTTTGTTGCAGGGAGGAAAGCTCTTTGGTCAAATTTACAAAATTTTCATCCCTTGGCAAAAAGATGGATTATAGGTGGAGACTTTAATTCCATCACCTCACCCATTGAATCCAAAGGCAAATGTCTTCCCAACCTTCAGAGTATGGAGGATTTCTTGAACTGCATAAACAACTGTAACTTGGTCTGTCCAGAGCCAAAAGGTTCCTTATTCACTTGGTCAGGAGTTAGAAGTCAGGGCAGGACCTGGCGCAGACTTGATAGAGTCCTACTCAATCTGGACACCATGGCTTCTTTTGAGGATCTGGCCCTCACTCACTTGCCTAGAGCTAACTCTGATCATAAACCCTTACTGCTTTCCTGCCTGGACACACCCCCTTCTGGTGCAAAACCATTCAAATTTCTTAACGTCTGGACGCAGCATGATTCCTTCCTAGCCACTGTCTAAGCTTCTTGGAGCAGCACTCCCACTATTGGAGGTATGAGAGGTCTGGTTTTAAAACTGAAAACCCTTAAACTGGCTCTTAAGGATTGGAACTCGTCCCATTTTGGCAATATCTTCCTTAAACTCAAAGAAGCAGAGGAAATTGCATCCAAAGCCCAGGAAACCTATGAGCTAGACCCTTCTGACCTCAACTGTGAAGGGGCCCAACTTGCAAATGCTCAACTTATTCAAGCCGTCAACAGAGAAGTGTCTTATTGGAAACAAAAAGCAAATGTAAAATGGCTGGAGAAGGGAGACACCAATTCTAAAGTCTTTCAAGCTTTTGTTAGGGGGAAGAGACAAAGGCTGAATATAAATCATATATATCATTTCTTCCGAGGGAAGAGGTCTTTCTTCTGAAGATGATATCAAACAAGAAGCCATCTCTCACTTCCAAAAGGCTTTTAAATCCACTCCATGTGGTAATATGGAGCATGTTCTCTCTACTATACCTGCAGTCATCACACAAGAAGACAATGCATTCCTAACTTCCATTCCGTGTATGGAGGAGGTTAGGAACACGGTTTGGAGTCTAGATGGAGACAGTGCAAGTGGTCCAGATGGTACAATGGCAACTTCTTCAAAACTTGTTGGTCCATCATTAGACATGATGTCCTCTTGGCATCTCAGGAGTTTTTCCTTGGGCTCCCTATTCCTAAAGGTTATGGCAGTACCTTTATCTCTCTTATCCCCAAGAAGGACAACCCTAAAACCTTTGATGATTTCAGGCCCATATCTCTCTCAACGTTCATGAGTAAAATTAACACCAAACTTCTTGCAAATAGGCTTAAAACGTTGTTGCCAAAAATCATCTCTGAAGAGCAGGCAGCTTTTCAAAAAGGAAAATCTTGTGATGATCACATCCTTCTGGAAAAGGAAGCGATCCATCATCTGGACAAAAAGACTTTTGGGGGGAATGTCATAATCAAGGTTGACATGGCTAAAGCTTTTGACAGGATGGAATGGAGCTACATTGAACATATCCTAAAGGGCTTTGGTTTCTCTGATGGGGCCATCAGCATTCTCATGGCAAACCTTAAAAATACTTTCCTTAGTATCCTCCTTAATGGTGCACCAACTGGTTTCTTCAAGATGGAAAGGGGGGTGAAACAGGGCGACCCCCTTTCACCTCTATTGTTTATTATTGGGGGGGAAGGTTTATGCAGAATGATTAACAAACATATGTCTTCATATCTTATCAACAGGTTCAATGTGGGGAGCATACAGATGGTGAGTCACCTCATCTATGCAGATGATCTCATCATCTTTTCAAAAGGAGACATTAGAAATTTGCTGAAAATCAAAGCCATTCTAAGGGAATACTTCACAGCCTCTGGACAGGATATGAACAACAACAAGAGCAGATTTTACAC